TAGTCTAACCCTATCGAGATCATCCGACCTTTCGCCTTGACCTGACTCCTTTTCACATATATGTTTAAGCTGTCTGTTTTTTACATTAAGCGGGATTTATACTTGTGCAGCAGACCCTATACGCTGTAGCCTATGCACGTGGCCTACGCCATTGTGAGCAACTTGTTTGTTGGTGTGTCTGTGTCACTCTGCAGTTACACCTCCGAAACACTTGTCAGCAACGGAGTCTCAGTGAAGTGCTGTGAAGTTTAGTTGATTCTGAACACGCATTAAACACACATTAAACATGGCTTAATGGAGACAATTTCAAACCCAAAAACACAAATCAGCTTCACTATAACTCGCAGCATTCACAGACAAACACTTGTCTTTATCTAGACACATTTTCCCCACAAATACAACATGCTAATGTTTTTAGCATGAGCCTATGGCATTTTACATTGTATAAATTAGCCTAGCAGCTAGTGGTCTTCTCTCTACTCATATGAAGCCAGGGACAACAGCAACATTTAACAAAGGTAACGTTACAAAAATCAGCTCCATTACAGCTCACAAGGTTCACTGACAAAACAACTGTCTTATACTAAACACATTTTCCAAACAAATACAACATGCTAACGTGATTAGCACAAGCCTATGGCATTTTACATTGTATACATTAGCCTAGCGACAATCAGAGATTTCCTCTGCTCATATGAAGCCAGGATAAATCACACACAAGACTTAAAATGCTACTTTTGTGGAGGCAGGCTACAGTGTAGGTTATGGCGTCAGTTCAACGAAGTGTAAATTCTGCCTTAGAATTCATTGTTTGTGTCTCAGTCATCATGTGGCTGTTTGTTACTTTGAATTAATCAATAATCATTTTGTGTTTTGATTATTTGCACATCTACATCATGTTTGTGTTTAACTTTATTCTTTGTCTTCATTTTGTTCTTTCTCTTAATATTTATTCACAGTTGATAGATTATTGATTGTATTTTTTTTTTTCTTTTGTCAAATTGTTATTCCTGCTGAACAACTGAGTGGAGTTACCTCTGAAATGTGACCAATAATGTTGCTTTGCAGTATCTAAACAAACGGTCACACCTCTCTCAGGACAGACAGATAGGACATGAATGCAGTGTGTACAGAATAACAACAAATTTCAGTATCGCCTCCTGAGACCCCGTGTCCTCATATGAGGACATGACATTTTGGGTTTACATGACCTTACACTAATCCATGTAAAAACAAGATGGCCGCCATCTCTGCCAAGTCCGTCTGCAGCTGATCCCGACACAAAAGTGGACAAGGTCCAAAACCTGATCACATTTTATAGTTGAAAGTTGTTTTTTATGATTAATAACATCTGTAGTTTGACATGGAACACAAATGTGACTAATTTTATGAACTGTAACAAGATAAGACACTGTAAATTAGGAAGTGCTCATTTGAGGACACTGGGACTTTATTATCGTTGACAGTGTTTAGTGTTTTTCACTTATCTGGTCCTATGAATGCGGCACGGTGGTGTGATGGTAAGCACTGTCGCCTCACAGGAAGAGGGTTGCTGGTTTGATTCCGGGTGCGGGACCCTTCTGTGCAGAGTTTGCATGTTCTCCCCGTGTCAGCGTGGGTTTCCTCCAGGTGCTCCAGCTTCCTCCCACAGTCCAAAGACATGCAGGTTAATTGGTGACTCTAAATTGTCCGTAGGTGTGAATGTGAGTGGATGGATGGTCCTACGGATTACAAATAGCAAGGAGAAATTAAAAAAGCATACAAAACAAAAGTTCAGGTCTCATGAGGGTAGACGAGCAGGAAAACAAGATCATAGATGGATAGTAAACATATAGAAAGTTTATTAATCTGAGAAAACATCAAGCGACTTCAGGTGACCCCAAACAGATGCAAAGCTAACTGAATGTTGTTATTGATACACAGCTGTTTTAAATTGATATATTTTCTGTATTTAAATTGTAAATTCTATTTTATATGTATGATTCTTAACTTTTGTCTTAAGATATTTCATTTTCAAATCTTTCCTTTTGTAAAGCACTTGACTTAACTAATGAAATGTTAATCATGTTTTTATTTTATGAAATACATTTTAACCCTTGTGCACCCCTGGGTACATTCTTTGCATTTGTCAACTAAAAATACTCAATAACTTTGCCTGTGTTAATGGCAGCAGGACAGAATTTAGCAAGGATATGAGACATGACAGCTGTTTGGAAGCTGCCAGAGCAGTTTTGCAGTTACATGTATGACTGTATCGTCTGCATACATCTGAAAACCTGCTCCAACACATGATTGTGGTCAAGTAGCTCAAGTCACTCACTCTACAGAAGAAGGATGCACTTAAAAAGTAAAGTGTGATCTTTTTTACAGACTTGACACATTTCCATTCAGAATGGACCTGCGACCCACCAGTTGGGAACCATTGTCATAAGGTGTCCTCTGAGTTACTGCAGGGAGGGCGCCAAATTATGGATTGGTAATTTAAGTTTAAATTTAAGGTGTTTTTTACGCGGTGTTTTTTTTAATTTAAGGTTTTTTACGCCTCAGCTATGGGGATAACAGTTGTCCATGCGTCTATCCGAGACATTTGGTCACTTACTGAACTGGTGACGCTAATTTTGGGTATCCACCTCGAAACTGTGCTGATTGACTCCCTGGAAGAGCATCTGCTCCATATGTAGACACAAACTCAATTTTAATTTGACGAAAATAAAAGAATTCTTATTTTCTGGTGATTGTACCCATAAGGAGAACAAAGTTATTATCATTTTCATAATCTGTTTCTGCCAACAAATGCCACTGAATCCTTCACACTGGACCTTTAATTCATGATGAATGTTCACCTTTTTGGGTGCTCCCTTCACAGTGGAGGCATGCAGGTAAAACATTCATATATTTAATGTTCAAACTCCTAAACTTAATTTATGTATTTTAAATTGTGATGGTTGATAGTAAAGGTTGCTGACCCCTGAACTTAAGGCTTTTTTTGGCCTGATAAACATAGAAAGCCTTTCTCTTAGTGTAGCCTACTGACTCCCAACCTGGGGATTCCCACTGCCACTAGGGGTCGCTAAAGCTCCACAGGGGTTTCTTAAGGCCTACCTCATTATAAATATTTATATGTGGTTCATGTGCAAAAGCTGTGATGAAGAAGGCCGTGCAGCAGTGATAAAACGCTCAAATACCAGCTATATTTTTACATTAGTGAGCATTTAAGTGCATTGCAGTTTCTGAAGTCATATTTTGGGGGGAAATAGATTGGGAATGTGTAAGTTTTACATTTTTACAGCACGCAAGTGCCAAATTGGAGGACCTGCAAAAGACTCATAGACCACTTATGTGAACTTTGTGATCATAGATCATAATAATACAGAACTTTTATTATCCTGTGAAAATACAGGCAGTTACCAGTTTATTAGGTACACCCAGCTAATATATATATTTGGGTTGCTTTATGCTTCTGTGCTCTAATCCATAAGATTCTGAGTCATGAAAAGTTTTGGCTCCCTCTGCTGGGATGTAGGCCTACTTGTTGTGTTGGTTGAGGTCACCTATGATTAACCCCACCTGTGTTTGTTTGGGACATTTCCAGTAAACACAATGAAGAGGGGCATCTTGGCAATTATAAAAATGTAGACTGGAATGCCGTCCCGATCTTCATTTATAACGACTTACATTAAGGATTCAGCACTCAGTCTTAAAGGTTTAATTGTGATTGAGCACATTCTGTTTTAGGAATCCTCACATCCAACTTACCAGATGTCTTTGTTTTGCTAAATACTTCAGTAACTAAAACAGTGCAATGTTAATATACAATAGGCTTTGTATAGTTAATGATCTGTGATATGAATTTATTTAGTCTGACTACTAAACATTACTGTAACCCTACACTTGCTCGGTAGCTTTCTCTATAAGCAGGCTACAATTTACCATCATTATACCTTCTTTAATTCACACCAAAATACGGTGAACAGTGTACATCCAGCGACTTTGTTACATTTACAGATGCACAATACTGGATTTTCAGCAAAAAAGGCAGAGCCCCTGACATGGATGTGAGTGAAGGGGCTGATTTCACTGATGTGCCCACATCATTTGCCACTGGGTTTGCCCTGCTGGTGACGGGCAGTTGGCAAAGTCCCTTTGCAGGCTTTTAGTCTATTATGGTGAACACTCCATGCCCATGACCGTGCATTCCTTGTCTCCATGATCTCATAGGTGACACCAGAGCGTCCGACCCTGCTCATTAGTTGTTGAACCACAAACGGGAACAATCTTGTTCATCTTTGTGGTGGGTCATACCAGTCTCCTGCTGGTGAGGGTGAAACTCCACCTCCTTGTCTCACTCACTGAATCTTTTGATGCTGTTTGGTTGCTGCAGACTGTTGAACTGCATCCTTAAAAGCACTGACAAATGTGTAGCAGGGTCCTGGGCATAAGCTGCTGGTGTGCCCAGTGTAGCAGAGGTCACTGCAGGTCAACAGTTCAACATGACATCCGGTTTGTTATCTCCCATGAACAGGAAGAAGGGGAAAATCCTGTGTGCACACACGCACACCGCTTCTCCTGTTACCACGTGTTATTACACATGTAGAAAATTCTTACCTCGGACTTAAAGGGGATTTATGGTTGTGCGCAGACCCTATGCACATAGCCTATGCCGTTGAGAGCATTTTTACTTCTGCAGTGGTGTGTCTGTGTCACTCTGCAGTTACACCTCTAGTTGGCGGTGGAGGTTTCTGTGAAGTGCTGTGAAGTTTAGTTGATTCAAAACACACATTAAACACACATTAAACAAGTTTATTAGCCTAGCAGCTGGCGATCTTTACCTCTTCTCATATGAAGCCTGGAAAAATCCCTGAAGGATAAATCACACACAAGACTTAAAATGCTATTTAAGTGGAGGCTTTACTGTCGCCACAATTTATTGTTTCATATCTGTGAACTAAAAGTAAATACTAGCTCCATTTCCACTGAGGGAAACATACCATAGTCCTCACCTCCCTAAGTCCCTCAGTGCATTCCAGGTACTGATGCGGCTAAGGCTTAATGTTTCTACAACTTTCCTGTCTCATGCATTCAATGTGTCAACAGCCACTGCCTCTAGGGTATTCACTGATGTCATCGATGTCATGTTCAGTCGCATGAAACCGCTTGTACTGTGGCCAGAAAGAGAGCAGTTGCAAAAAACCATGCCAATGCAATTCAGAAAACATTTTGGAAAGAAATGTGCTGTTATTATTGATTGTTTCGAAGTGTTTATAGACCGTCCATCTAATCTTAAAGCCAGAGCAGAAACATGGTCTTCATATAAGCACCGTAACACAGTGAAATTTCTGACTGGTATTACACCACAGGGCACAATCTCTTACATATGAAATGCATGGGGAGGAAGAGCTAGCAACAAGTACATAACTGAAAACAGTGGATTTTTGGACAACATTTTTCCTGGTGATTTAGTTCTTGCAGACCGTGGCTTTGATATTCAGGACACCCTAGGCTGCATAATGGCTCAGGTAAAAATCCCAGCCTTCACTCGTGGGAAGTCAGTTAGCTCCAGTTGACATTGAAACCACAAGGAAGATTGCTCATGTTAGGATTCACGTTGAGCCTGTGATTGGTAGTGTGCGCCAGAAATATTCTATTTTGGGTGGTACACTGCCAATTGATTTCTTGATATGCAAGGACAATGAAAGTGTTTGTACCATTGATAAGATTGGACTTGTCTGTTGTGTGCTGGTGAACCTTTGTCCATCAGTAGTTGATTTTAACTGAAGTGATATTGCAGCACTTGAACAGAAACTTTTCAAAATGTACTCTTACAGTTTTGACTGCAATGTGATAAGTTTGACATGTTAGCACTCCAAGATGTACAAAACATGCTCATGTAATTCTGAAATAAAACTGTAACATGAAACAGTTATCAGTGAAAATTATTACAAGAACACACATTTCAAGTTACAAGAATAGACAAAAATAAAATATTTGGCCTATTAATTAAAATCAAATTTAGCCAAGTAATTAAAATAAAATAAAAAACCTTTGTCTAAACTAAAATAAATAAGGTTTAAATAAAAATAAATAAATAATGATGAACAAATCTTGGCTAATTTAACCAAACAATAAGATTAAAGTAAATAAAGCTAAAATAAACTTGGTAAATAAGATTAGTCTTTGGCCAATTTAACCAAGCACAGTCCATAAACTTGACCTTAAGCATCAATTGGATTAGGATGTAAATTCCTAATAAAATGTAAGACATGTCAATAAAATGTATGAAGCTACAGAACCGTTCACTGAAAATGACACAACTCAGGGTTTTTTATCAGTGCGTTTCTTTAGCCTTTTAGGCTGAAACTGGTTGAGTTCATGGCAGTTAGGACAAAACCATTTCCCTTTTGGCACAACCACAACATTAACACATGAACAGTGAAACCACTGAATTTGACATTGTTTATTGTCACACAAAATTTCATTTGAAAACATATCACATGCAAATTTCTCATGAGTACATCCCCAGGTTGTGGCTGTTGAGGTGAATTTGTATACTTCTGGATAGCAGACACTTTTGATCAAGCTCTGAGCTGGCTGGTTTGGATCAGTGCAACATGCTGCTTTCATTTTAGATGCTGTAATATGGCCAGCATGGAATTGAAACCACAGTTTAAAAGAAGCTTGACCTCTTGTAGCTGCCTCAACTGCCTTTGCTTGCTCCTCTGATACTGAAATTTCAATATCACTGCAAACTGTCAATATGTCATTATAGTCCATGAGAACTGCTTCCTCATTTTGCAGTTCAGTCAACATCAGAGGAAAGTTTTCTCCAACAGGCTTGGGAAAAAATGATCTGAATAAGGCTCAATCAGGGACAAAATTGCATTCAATAATGATGTTAATTCACCACTGTTTGGATGTGGTGTTTTGCTTACTTTAAGGGTAGAAGAAGAACTAGGCTGAGTGCTCTCTTTTTCTTTAACATGACCAGCACAGTCACAATCACTCTTAGCTATTTTACTTCATGTCTTTGGTGCAGTAAAGTCAATCTTTCGACATTCCTTGTACTCCACCTTTGACATCGCAGCAGGTAGCATCCAATACGCCTTTTCCTGCGTCACCGTCTTCGACTCCCTCAACTTCACCATTGCCTCAATCAGAAACAATAACGCGGCAACATGGGTGCACGTCTCGCCCAGGCCAGCAACACACGTACAGTGAGCTCCATGGATCCTGCCTGACTTCTCAGCAATTATCCAAGGTTCAAGGGGTTTGTCGCGTATTCGTTGAGTACCTGAATAAAAGACAACAACCAAATCAAACCTCTACATAAAATCTAAGATATTTTACGCTAAATGTCCTAGGTGTCATCGCTAACGTTAGGCGTTGCCTGTATGGCAAGCCGTTTTAACAGTTAATCGCTAAGTTTGACTATCCAGAATTACCATTATAGATATCAACAACGTCATTTTGACTAGTAGTAATGTCATTGTGACTAGTATGAATTTTAATTGAAGATATCTATAACGTCATTCTGACTAGTCAAAACTGAATTACAGATATCTATAATGTCATTCTGACTAGTCAAAACTACAGTTACAGATATCTGTAATTCAGTTTTGACTAGTAAGATTCAAACTATTTTTGCCATTCATGTGTATGGGGTTTGTCATTATAGATATCTACAATTACATTATGACTATCTATAAGATATCTACAACGTCATTTTGACTAGTCATAATTCGGTTGTAGATATCTACAACGTCATTTTGACTAGTCATAATTCAGTTGCAGATATCTATAACGTCATTCTGACTATCTGAAACTCAATTCAAGATATCTAGAAAGACCATGTAGATATCTTCAACTGATGATAATTAAAGATATCTTGAACTTGAATTATGACTAGTCAAAATTAAATTGTAGATATCTCAAACTGGAATTACAGATATCCACAATTCAGTTGCAGATATCCGCAATAACAATTGTAGATGTCTGCAACTACATTGTAGATATCTATAATGACAGACCCCATACACAAGAATGGCAAAACTATGGCAAGCCGTTTTAACATTTAATCGCTAGACTGGATATTCATTACTGATATCTGCAACATAATTTTGCCTAGTCAAAACTCATATTCAAGATATCTGTAATTAGATTTTGACTAGTCAAAACTCTAATTACAGATATCTAATTCAATTTTGACTAGTAAGATTCAAACTATTTTTGCCATTCATGTGTATGGGGTTTGTCATTATAGATATCTCCAATGTAGTTGCGGATATTTACAATTGTTATTTCGGATATCTGCAACTGAATTGTGGATATCTGTAATTCCAGTTTGAGATATCTACAATTTAATTTTGACTAGTCATAACTCAAGTTCAAGATATCTTTAATTATCATCAATTGAAGATATCTACATGGTCCTTTCTAGATATCTTGAATTGAGTTTCAGATAGTCAAAATGACGTTGTAGATATCTGTAACTGGAATTATAGATAGTCATAATGTAATTGTAGATATCTATAATGACAAACCCCATAGGCTACACATGAATGGCAAAAATAGTTTGAATCTTACTAGTCAAAACTGAATTACAGATATCTGTAACTGTAGTTTTGACTAGTCAGAATGGCGTTATAGATATCTTCAATTAAAATTCATACTAGTCACAATGACATTAGGCTACTACTAGTCAAAATGACGTTATAGATATCTATAATGGTAATTCCGGATAGTCAAACTTAGCGATTAAATGTTAAAACGGCTTGCCATACGAGGTATATGTCTGGATAGGATATGGAAGGCAGAACCGTCGGGTCATCATTTTTCCAAGACAAGGGAGCTAGCTCGTACGGATCTTTACCACCTATTAACCACAGTTTCTCGAGATATCGCTGTTTCTCCCGCTGACAAATTCCTTCTCTGTAACCTTTAGCAGCTTCCGCACGTTCTTCTGTGCATTTCTGTAATTTAGACATTTTAAAGTCCGCTTAGGTGCACGTTAGGCTACGGCGTTGAGCCAGAACTGAGAACCTCAAGCATACCTTGTCCTTTTATGGAACAAGCTCAATAGCCCTCTGTTATTTATCTTATTTACACCAGGGCATGTCATTTCTGTCTCTACATGGTCGCACGTTTACAAATCTCCTCTGCTCTCTGTATCGCGCACGGCGGAGTTCGGCCCCGATGAATACATTCATCATAAACTATACAGAGTCTGCTGTACTAGGCTATATTAATATTGGACGGTTTAATTATTGAAGTATTTAGCAACACAGTGGTCAGTGGGATGTGAGGATTCTTAAACTAACATGTGTACAGATGTGAAGCCCTGACTGTATCTGACTGAACCTTAATGAAAGCTGTTGTCTTGTAACATTAACCTTATAGTCAAACATAGTTTATTCAGCATGTGTAGTTGAGGGGACAGGTCAAACTGATATGATGCTGATTTACAGGAGAGTTCATATCAAATGGAGGATAAACCATGAACATAAACTACAGATCACCTGTAAAGCATTTTAATAAATGTATCTATCATAATTAAAACAACTGGAGACTGAAAACAAACTGAAATATGGGTCTGATCACTTTCTTAATGAATTGACATCATTCCAGACAGGATGTTAGTGTGTCTGTGACTTCCTGAACGGACTGGAGGATGCTGGAAACTGTCTGACTTCACTGCAGCTTTCTGTCACCGCCCCCCGCTGCGGCCGCCTGCGCTCGTCTACTTTCCAGGCGAGGCGCAGTTCATCTCGAACAAGCCTAATAAGTCGACGCAGCGGACTTCATCTTGTTTTAGTTAAATTTCTTTTACTGTATTGCACTAACAATGGCAGTGGTGACTGTACTGACTGTAGGTGAGTTGAACTGTGGTGAGTTGAACTGTAATAGGCCTATCACTCTGAGTGTGTGTGTGTGTGTGGACCCTGTTCTTATTTATAAAAGAGACTTCAAAATATGGGGGTAACGACTATGATTATTTATTCAATATGTTATGATACGAGGGTAGGTAGCACTAGATAGTTTACCATCTCATCCAACTTTCATGTGGGTGTGGCACCTAGGCTATAGGCTACTGCTACTGCTATTGGTGGCTCATTTGTGCTTCAGGAAGATTTGTGCTTATGTTCAAAACTTTTACTACATTTAAAACATCTCTCACATATCTGTGTTCTCTGAGAAGTCGAGAGTGAAGTTAGGCTATATTTGAGAAACAGCTGTAATATTGTAGCGACCCTTATCTTGTTTGCTGGTTCTACATTGTGTTATTGCTCTGCCAATATGGTAGTATCCCTTTCAGATCGTCTGACAGACACTGAACCCCATTTAGGACTCTCGTCTTCTCTTCATTGGAGGTGGAATACTGAAACTAGCTGAAGATATTTTTGGTCAGGCATAAAATGGGATTGCCCTCATATTAAAAACTAAAATGTTCTGTTCCTCACTGAATCAATGCAAGACTCGATTTGTCTGGTATTTTTGTGCACAGAACTGTTAGTATGAGGATAATACCAACAAGTTTGCTCCAAGGTTGGTCAACAATTCTGTCCTCCCGAAATATTTATAGGGACATGTTTATTAGAGCTCAGCTCGGGACGCATTTTCCTGACCCAGCCCGACACAGTTTGTTATTTATTGTTATCATGGTTACAGCTTGTCTGTTTACCATGATCACACATGGACAGTGTGTAAATGACCACCAAAAGGCTGCTGTTACACACAGTCAAACACCAGCACGGCACAGCACGCACACTTAATTGGAGAGGATTGAATCTTAATTGAATCTGATCCTATAAAAAGCACCACCCACTGGCCAATCAGCTGTTCGGAAAAAAATGACTGCTGACAGAAATGCAGCCCAGTCATGACGGGAAGTTTAATTCATTTGATTGATTTTAATTTGAAAGT